TCTTTAATTCCCTTTCAATGTGCTCCAATTTCATGCACCAGGCCACTTGTCTATGCTATCTAATAATAGACAAACATGGTAATTGACCATACCTCCGCTATGCTTCCCATTGGCTAATCAGCAGGATATGCAAATTAACTGCCAATAAAGATGGCGGATGGTGGCCACGCAGCTGAAGCGAACATGAGGCTTCCTTGCTCCAGTGATGGAGGAAGCCAAGGTCCTCACCTGCCAGGGACCAGCTCTGAGCTCTGGAAGCAACAATGTCTCAATTATAGAAGCTAAACAAACCCCAGATACTTGCTTTCAGCCAGCCACGGCCTCAGAGCTAGAGCTGGGCCTCAGAGTTGGAGCTGGCTCTCAGCTCCAGTGACAGCTATAGAAGGTAAATAAATCCCAGAATAAAAAAAAAAAAAAGAGGCTGGGAGCTACTGACGCCGGCCAGCCTGAAAAGGGCCCTCAGCCCCTCACGCAGACTGGCCAGGGACCCCAGCGGGGACCCTCACCCTGAAGGGGATGTGACCAGCTGAAAACAGCCATCAGCCCCTCACTCAGGCTGGCAAGGCACCCCAGTAGGGACCCCAACCTGATCTGATCACCCTTCAAGGCAAACCAGCCCGCCCTCACCCGTGCATCAGGCCTCTATCCTATATAGTAAAAGGGTAATATGCAAACTGACCCTAACAGCAGAAAGACTGGGAATGACTGGTCACTATGACACACACTGACCACCAGGGGGCAGATGCTCAATGCAGGAGCTGCCCTCTAGTGGTCAGTGCGCTCTCACGGGTGAGCTCTGCTCAGCCACAAGCTAGGCTGATGGCTGCCAGTACAGCAGGGGTGGTGGGAGCCTCACCTGCCTCCTCAGCAGCACTAAGGATGTCTGACTGCAGCTTAAGTCTGCTCCCCGCTGGCAAGTGGACATCCTCCCGAGGGCTGCCGGGCTGCCAGAGGGATGTCTGATTGCCAGCTTAGGCCAAATCCCCCGGAGAGCCGGCCAAATCCAGCAAGTGGTCACCCCCAAGGGGTCCCAGACTGCGAGAGAGCACAGGCCGGGTTGAGGGACCCCCAACTCCCGAGTGCACAAATTTTTGTGCACTGGGCCTCTAGTATATATATATATAAAAAAAGCCTAAGCGAACAAACAACCGAACGACCATTCCCTATGACGACCACTGACCACCAGGGGGCAGACACTCTATGCAGGAGTTGCCCCGTGGTAGTTAGTGCGCTTACAGCGGGAGCACCGTTCACCCCATGGGCCATTCAGCCCTGAAGCAGCCACTCACTCCCTCAGTAGTCCTGTAGGTCCAATCTCCAGAGAATAGCCAGGCACCCATGGACCAGTGCCGCCAGCAGAATCCTGACCACACTGTCAGCCTCCGGGAAGTCAGCCTCAGACACTGTGGTCACCTCCCCTTCCTAGAAGCTCCGCAAGGGAGAAATGATATAAAAGCGGCTGCCAGGTGGCTCCAGACAACCAGCAGGAACGTCAGTGAGGGAGAGTTGCAGAGGACAGATCCTGATCCAGGGCCAGCAAGGGTGTCCCACCACCGTCATGGAGGGCCCAATCACATCCAGGCCCCCCCGCCCTCCTCAGGATGGGTGTCAGACACAGGGCTCATGGTTTGTGAGCTCCACTGCAGCAGTGCAAGCCTCTCCAGATCGGGACTGACTGGGAGAGAGCCTGTGGCAGGCGCAGCGGGGCTGGGATGAGCAGGAGTGGCAGGTGGCATTGGACTGCAGGTTTTGTCCCGATTCCTGCAGGCAGAGCAGAGAAACCCGACCAGTGCACTGGGCCTCTAGTATTATAATAATTATGTGTGGTGACAGCTGGGTTCTGAAAATATCAGGGGGAACACTTTGTAAAGTATATGATTGTCCAAGCACTATGCTGTGCACTTGAACCCAATGTACAATAATACTGAAAGTAAAGTGTAATTGTAAAATTAAAAATAAGGAAATTGAAATTTAAAAAAGACTTACCAATTTGAATCATGGAGGAGCAGACGTGACCACAGCCCTCCCTGATGCACTGTTCTCCTTGCCCACAGTCCCTGCCTGCTCTGCATTGGTGCTCGCAGATGCCTGAGGAGAGGAAAGACTAGTTAAAAGCTTTTAAGTCTTACACTTGAAGAATAAAATTTTAAATGCCTTCACAGTGTCATCCAAAACAATCAATTACCTAAGTATAAATCTAACAAATTATATTCAGAAAACTACATAATATTACTAAGAAAAAAGTGAAAAGATCATAATAAACAGAGTCGTATATGGTGTTCATGGATTAGAAAATTCACGAACATGAAGATATAAGTTTTCCCAAAATTGAAATTTAATGGAATTCCAATGAAAATCTTAGAAAGATTTTTAAATGAAAATTCATAAACTAATACTAAAACTTATCTGAAAGTCCTAAAAATCAAGAATAATCAGGACAGTTTTTCCTGTTTTATTATCAGTTACAGTTGACATACAATATTACATTAGTTTCAGATGTACAACATCCTTAAAGACATTTATATAACTTCCAAAGTGTTCACCCTGAATTAAGACAATCTAGAGCAAAGTTGTTGGGGTTGGGGGCAGGGAAGGGGTGGAAGAAAAAGATGAAATTAGCTAAGTTTATTATGACTATTACTCATAGTGGTTCACTTACAGATAATCATCCACAATAAAAGAAGGGAGGAAAGGTAATATTTAAAGGTGCTAGCATAAGATAACTATTACAACAAAAATATAAACCTTTCTAAATACAAAACATATAGTAAGCCCGGGTCCCTGGTGCCAGAGGGAAGTTGGTGCCCACAGCCAGGGGAAGGAAGGCCTACTCTTGCACGAATTTTATGCATCAGGCCTCTAGTATGTCATAAAAATAATGCCCAGAATTTCCTTCAAAATAGCATGAGATGAAGGGAAATGAATGGGATTATGAAAGAAGAATGATTACACATTAACAGTGGGTGAAGCTGGGTGATGGGTATGTGGTATATCATTATACTATTCTGTCTGCTTTGTATGTGTTTACATTTTCCCATAATAAAAAGTTTAAAAATAAACTATTTGTCCTTACAAACAAAGCTCTATTAATTAATCTTGGATTAAAATAGGACCTGTCAAATTTCTCCCAGGTCCTGTAAGGACTGTGCCCCAGAATGTATACCTCAGTGAGAAAGTCCTCCTGAAGTAAAATAGCACATTTCCCAACTCCATAGCCAACATTCCCATTCTGATCTACTCACACTTTCCACACAGCCTTTCCAAACAGCTCATACTGCACCTAGCCCTCACACACTGAGATTTGGTTAAATGATTATTTGGAGAAAGAAGGTGGAAATAAGCTAACTTTCTTTGTAAACTGGGCTGGGAGAGCTGTTAAGTGCAAGAGTGGACTGGTTGTTATTGGCTTATTGGTTCTATGGGTATCATTTTTTGTTTTCTCAATCACCTTGCAAGGAGTGGATATGACTTCCAAGAGAATAAGGCTTTCGGTTCATTCCATCGAAAGGCCCTTTGTGGGATCTGTGATATTTTTTTCTCAAAGTCAAGGGCTCATTTGGAAATAAGAAACAAACTTTGTCCTGATCAGTGTGGCTCAGGGGTTAAGCATCGACCTAGGAACCAGGATCACATGGTTCCATTCCTGGTCAGGGCACATGCCCAGGTTATGGGCTGGATCTCCAGTGGGAGGGTATGCAAGAGGCAGTCAATACATGATTCTCTCTCATCATTGATGTTTCTCTCTCTCCCTCACCCCTCTTCTCCCTGAAACCTTTAATAAAAACAAAATTTTTAAACAGGAGTGTAATGTTGGGCAAGTCATTTAGCTACTTGGACCCTCTGTCTCTTCATCTGTAACATTTACAAAAAATTCTGCTACTGAGATGATATCATAGAGTTGTGGTGAGTGTAAAGTGAGATACTACCTGTGAAAGTGCCTGTGCTGGTGAGTGTTAATTATCCTCCCCTAACATATGTCTCCAAACTCTGGGTGACCACAGAGTCTGACATGTCTGCATGCCTACAGAACCTGTATAGACTTCAGGACTAACTAAAGGTCAGAAACAAAAGTGGACGTTGTAGGATGCCATCCTCAAGTATCTTTGCAGGGGAAGGTCATACCTTGGCATTCAGAATGGCAGATAATAGGTGAAATTGTTTGAGAACATGTTATGGGTGTGCTCATGAGCCCCCAGTAATGACCAAGAGAGACAGAAGCATGGTGGGATTTGGGGTGTGGTTGACCTGCCAGTAAAAGAAGATATAAAAGCCAATATGCCCTCATTCCAATGCAAAGGCTGGCGAGGCCATGGGCTGCTGGGGTAATAAGATGTGCTAGACAGCAGGGACAAGCAGGCAGGGCAGATGATGGCAGAAGGCTACGTGGGGCAATCGAGGTGGAAAAGTGAACAGAGAGCGCTGGGAGATGGAGCTTGTAGGGTCAGCCCAGACCATCGCTTTTGTCAGGGCTTCTAAGGGAGACCCAGGCTTATCCTCTGCCTCAGGAAAACTCTGAATCAAAGACTCCAACCACAGAGCCTATGTCCCAACTTATCCTAACACCTAATCACTTCCCAGCCTCGCCACTCAAAGCCCCACATTCCAAGGGCCAGGGTTGCTCTCATAGAGTTAGGCGTCCAGTCCTGCTGCATGTCGGTGTATTGCCTTAGAATAGGGTATCTCCAAATTTGTTTCTGCTCCTACTCCTTCTGAGTCTTCCCTATTAAAGGCTGCTACTATAGGCCTGTTATGTGCTAGAAGGTCATGTTTTTCTTGACCAAAATCATATTCCCAGAATGCTTGAGAAAATATTAACATGCCCTCTGCCCTGTTTAGATACATGGACATGGAAGGAGGAAAGCAACTAGCTGGCAGACCTTGCCTCTGATCTATCCTGAGTGCCTTGTATTCATGGGCTCAGTACAGGGCACACAGTCCGTTCTGTTCATCCACAGAGGGTCCACTAGAAAGAATGTCTAAATGGGAAGAATGACATAGACTCAATAATGCCACAGATAAAATTTATTTTGGATACAAGCTCTTTAGAATCGGCCGCTCCACCATTTTAGATCTTCATCTTCTGAGACTGCATGTCAAGGGATAGACACTTGCCAGGAATGGTGTGTAGAAATGTTATGCCAAGCACTGGATCCATGCATTCATGAGCAATCTTCTGCGGCTGGTCTCCAGGCATGCTTACATCCCCCATTCTTCCTCCACAGGGTCATCAACACCATCCTTTTAAAATATAAATTTCACCATGACATTTCCTCTGCTCAGAAACCTCCAGCAGTAAACCAAACTCTTTGGCAAGGCAGCTCATTCCTTTCTGGACCCTGGCTTGGATGATCCTCTCCTGAGATGTTGCAAATTCTACTGACCACAATCTCAATCACTTTCCCATCTCCAGTGTAGGACCCACATTGCCCCATCATCTGTACTGCCCTTCCTTACTGTGGCAAATTTTATGCCTCCTTTAAGCTCTTCCTTAAAAGTTCTCTACTCTCTGACAATCTTACCAACCTCCACTCATCCACCCACCGAGGCGAAACCATAACTCTTCCCTGTGCCTCCACAGACCTTAGTAGAAATTTGTGCAAACCTGTGGTCACCCAGGGTTGTAATTATCTACATAGTTCTGTCTCCATGAACTAGCTGTGTTTACCTTTTCATCTCAACTTTAGCACAATGCCTGACTGACACAGGAGATACTCCATAATTGGGGTTCTCCTTCCTTTCCCTCTGCCTCCCAGGATCACCCATTTTCAAGGAAGAGTGAAGCCCCCTTGGTGGGGAAGGGGAAGGAGGGTGACAAACCCTGGGTCAGTAATGACCTGTGAATCTAGGATCATGGTTACTTGTCTCAACTGAGAGCCCCCTCGGGGACAGAGACAGGGAAAGGGCTTCACTTCAAGGAGAGGGTCTTAGATAATGCAGCCAGGTGTCCTTCTGCCATTCACTTCCAACCTCTTTCTCTTGGAGTTACCCAGATTATTATGTGCTGTGCACATGTGAACATCCATCGGCCCCAGGAAAGTCAACTGGGGAGTTGTTAACACCCTTGTCAGTTCTTGACCAATTTATACTCACAAAATAGATAGCATGTTTGCATTCACGGCCACATCCATTGCTGCAGCATTTCATTCCCCTGGGACATGAGTTATCTCCTCTGCAGCGGACAGCACAATTCCCATAGGTTCCTTTGGGCACCCTGGGGCAGTGCCCTGAAACATACAATGGTGTTTGTGGAGTTTGGAATAGTCACTAACCAGGTATGAGAACTGCTGTTAGAGGTCGACAGGCTCAGTGCTGGCAGGACTCCCACCTCTTTCATTTCTTCCTTTGTACTCCTGGACCCTCCCTCAGCCTCGGCAGATCCATCCTCACACTGAAGCCCCCATTTTCAGTCAGGCCCTTAGGAGAATGTTCTCCCTGCTGCAAAATCTGCCTAGTCCCAGCAGGCAAGAAACCTGCTCTGTCATAAGCCTCTTCTTTCCACTTTAGAAGAAGATATTAAAAACATCTCTGATCCCAGACATCCGTCTTCCCACCTCAAACGTACCACATGTTCATCCCGGAGCCCTATATCCCAGGCACATGTAGAGAGAGCCCCAACTTGTAATAAGGCCCCACCTGATCTGATAAGAAGATGCAGCCCTGGCTGGTATGGCTCAGTTGGTTACAGCATCACCCCATATACTGAAAATTTGCAGGTTCAATCTCCATTTGGGGCATGTATGGTGGGCAACCAATCGATGTTCTCTCTCACTTTGATCTCTCTCTCTCTCTCTCTCTATATATATATATATATATATATATATATATATATATATCCCTTGCCCTCTCTCTCTAAAATCAATAAGCATATCTTCAGAGGAGAATTAAATAAAAAAGGTAGAATGGGAAACGCAGGGTGATCACTCCTGAAGGTTAAAGAAAGTGGGTCTGATCAATGCCACATCTCCACTCTGCAGCCTTTTCCTGTGCCCACCATCCCAGGTAAGAAGCTGGGCTCTGAGCCTCCTCTGCTCTCAGGTAGGACCCCCTCAGCACCCTTACCTCCATGACCACCTCTCTGAGCGAAGGCCATCTCCATCCCCAAGATGACAAAAGCCACTAGAACAAAGGCTGTGCCTGTCTTCATGTTGGCCTTTGATGTGAATGCACACACTGAACCCAGCCCCAATTTATACCCTCAGTAACACCAGAGGGGAGTGTGTGGTCAGGCAATACAACAGGAAATGTACAACATAATCTAGTTAATTTGTTCTATTTCATAACTGGTTTCTATCTAATTATGGTACGTTTTCTTATAGATGCAAATCCAAACAGGAGAGTTCAGGCATTGCTACAACAAAACTTGGCACCGTTTTCCCTGGTGTCATTAGAAAAAGTGGCCAAAGAAAAGAATTTTCTGTGTATGATGTAGATTTTCACAGTAAGAGCATAAACTATGAAGCTACGTGTTATTCCACCTGGTGCCTCCTGGAGGTCCCGTTCCAGGAGGATTCAATGTGCTTCTGGGAGAGATGGTGAATGCGTTGTGCTTTGGAGCCATCCAGGGCTGAGATCTCTAAGTAGGAGTTGACAGAGGACCTCCCCTTTTCACAAAGGTAGGTAGTGAGGTCGCTCATCTGAGGAGATGGATGTTCAAAGACCACAAGCTGGCAGGGCCGTTGGGGATGGAGAGACACGGTCCACTCTTGATGGTGGGTGGTCTCTGGGCCTACCCTGCTCCATACTGAGAGGTCCCTAGAGAGAGGCCTGTGTGGGTGAGCTACAATGAGCTGGACGACAAGAAAAGAATGTTACAGAATTTCAGAGAAGGGGGTGTAAAGGTAAAACTCCAATGACTATAGGAATGAAGAGAAAGCCTGATTGTCCTTGGGGGTCAGATCTGGGACAAGCACCTCATGAGCACCTATGGGGAGGCCAGGATGAGGTACTCTAAGATCACAGGAACACTAAGTGAGCCAAGAGAGGAGGGCTCAGACCAGCCATCCCAGGTAGTTAGCTCACACCCAGCATCTCAGACTCTTTGGATGCTCAAAGGGTACAACACCCAGGACCCCTACAGCTGAAGGAGGGACCAGAGTATCTGAAGAAGACATGCAGCTCGGTACAGGGTGGAGAACAATTGCCCAAGGCAGCACAGAGAACAACAAAGAGCAAAACAAACAGCAAGCCCAAATGCCAATCTGAGGTGTCTTGCCAGATGCCAGACTGCTTAGTAGCATGGCCTTGGTGAGTGTGTGGGGCCAAGGTGCACAGCCCCAAAGAACTTGCAGGAGAACCCTACAGAGCACTCTTGGTAAGGGGAGGACTCCCTAATCCCTCCCTAAAAGTGAGTAGACACAACTACTATCACTTAATTAACATCATCTTAATAAAAATTTTCTCATGTGTTTGGTATGTATTTTCCTAAGTACTTTCCTATACTTTACAAACACACATATGTATATGCAAATATGTATCTTTGCTGCAGAAATGAAGTTATATTGTACAGTATTGTTTCGCTTTATTTACTTAACATTATGTCTTTTTAAAATATATTTTTTATGGACTGAGGAAGGGAGAGGGAGACATAGACAGATGCATCAATCATGAGAGAGAATCATGGATCAGCTGCCTCCTGCATGCCTCCTACTAGGGATTGAGACCAAAACCTGGGCATGTGCCCTGACCAGGAATCAAACGGTGACCACCTGGTTCATAGGTCGATGATCAACCACTGAACCACACTGGCTGTGCTTAACATTATGTGTTGGAGAGATTTCCATGTTAGTATCCCCCCCTTTTAAAATAACCACTATCTAATATTCTATTATATAAGTGATTCATAATTTATTTAAACATATTTCAATTGCTGAACATTTAGGAGGTTTCTTTTTCATTAATAATTTGCTGCTATTTGCATGATATACTTTGTTTTTGCTTCTTTGTTTATATGTGTAAATATTTCACCCTGAAAAGATGCCTAAACATGGAAATACAAAGGATATGTTTACTGTAGAGTTGGAAGATATTGCCAAATTGCCCTACAAAAAGGCTGCACCCATTTACACATCCTCCAGCAGTGAAGGAGGCACTGATTTCCCACATACTGACCTGATGAATTTGCATTCTTGCTTTCCCAAGTTAAAATTTTAATGCAATATTTCAAGCTGTGTATTCCCAAATTTCCATTGGGATGTAACCCAGATGGGAATGCAGGGCAAAGAACTCTCATGGCAGTTATGCAAAAATTTAATTAGTGGAAATTACATATGAAAATATACTCTGGTATGTGCTACTCTAGCACATGGAGCAAGGGCGGTTCTGGCCTCTCCTGATTTTGCTGATTCTGCAGTTCAAGAATGGGAGCTGCTAGGCTGCAAAGGAGGCCTCCCTTCAACAAAAACGGTACTGGGCTCCATTAAGCCTATGGTTACACATCAGGACCTGTGCCTGTGCTCACACCTATCACCTCACCGAAGCCTCCTAAGCTGTGGGGTCGCTTCCATTGGCCACCACATGTCACAGATGAAGGGACTGAGACTTGAAGGAAGCCCATGCTTTGCAAACACTTCGACCCCATCTCAGACCCACCAATGGGGAACTGCCAATGGGGAAGTTCAGAAAAGCTCCTCAAATGTTTTCATGTACATGGAAGTGAGGACCACCTCACCTACCTGATAAAACCTTTATTTCTGTGAAGAACTAAACAAAATGTCTCCATAAATAGTTGATTTCTAGTGACATTCACAAAATTGGAAATATGGCAATTTCTCATAATATATTACTACTTGATAATATCCAGGTGTCTACACCAACCATCACACAAATTTAAAAATAAACTGAGGAACAATATAGAGGTTCCTCAAAAAATTAAATATAGAATTACCACACAATCCAGCAATTCCACTTCTCGGTATATAGCCAAAGACTTGGGAGCAGGATCTCAAAGAGCTATTTGTACACTCATGTTTATAACAGCATGATTCATAAGGTAAACATGGATACAACCCGAGTGTCCATTGACCAATAAATGGATAAGCAACATGTAGTATATAAATATAAGGGAATATTATTCAGCCTTAAAAAGGAAGGACATTCTCCAGTATGCCACAACATGGGTGAACCTTAAGGACATCATGTTAAGTGAAATAAGCCAGTACAAAAACACAAATATTGTGGTTCCACTTATATGAAGTACTTAGAGTAGTCAAATCATAGAGACAGAAAGTATAAAGGTGGTT